TATGTCTTGTTTGTGCAGTTTTTTTTTCTTCCAAAACCTGCCTGTAGGAGGGCATGCCCGACCTAACGTTAGCGGCGACCCAGCGACCCGCCGCGATGGCGCCCGAGCCGCGCCCCCCCCCCCCGGTCCCGTGACCGATGGGTTTCTTAAGCCAGGCGGCCCCAGGGGGCGTCCCCGGGCCACGCGAGAAGGCACCTCGCGGAACCCCGCTGCGCGCATTTCCATAGGCCTCCTGGATGGGGTCGGAGCAGAAGGGGTCGGAGGATCACGCCGCATCGTCGATGCATCGGCGATGCGGCTCGATGTGGAGCCCAGTTTGTTTTACATCGACGTCGCCGATGCATCGCCCACGTCGACGATGCATCGCCAGTGCATCGCCGATGCATCGCCGATGCCTCGCCAGAGGCACCTCTCGGGCGGGTGGCAATGGGGGGGGGGCAAGAACCGGGGTGAAGAGAACGGCCCCACAGGAGGCGAGGCCTTTCGAGCCCCTGCTGGAGCCCGCTGCTGCCCAAAAAGGACCCTAAAGGGTCCCTTTCAAACCCTTCTCTTCACAAAAAACCCGAAGGGGCCCCACAGGAGTCCTTTCTCTTCACAAAAAGGACCCTAAAGGACCCTAAAGGGTCCCTTTCAAACCCTTCTCTTCACCCCCCATTTGGACCACCCCACATTGCCACCCGCCCGAGCCTCGCAGAACCCCGCTGCGTGAATTGCCGCCAGCTGCGCGGCCTTCTGCTCCGGTCTCGTCGGCGCGTCGGCGGCGTTCGGCGCTGGCCCACCAGAATCGGAGCACCTATCAGCCATATCTCCTTTGAAAGGACGTTGTAATCTTCCTGCCTTGAGCAACCCTTGCGCAGCACCCCTATAGGGCTGCCTGGGCCGCGCCGGCCCCAGAGCGCCCCCCCCAGCGCGCGTCGACGCTTTAACGTGCTGACGCGCCGTCGAGTCCACAAAGAAACGCAGCTCCACCCCCGGCCCGCTGCCGTAACGCAGATCGCAGTGTGCACACAGCCGCGGCCAGCTCCCACGCCGCGGTGCGCGCCGCGCAGTCCCCGAGCGGCCTGTGCGCGCGGGCGCCGAGCGCTTTTTGCCGGCGTGCGCCCTTGGGTCTTGCCGAGCGGCGCAGGCCTTCGGCGTGCCGGCCGCCGCAAACCACTGACCACTCGGCGCGTCGGCCGCCCATGCCAGCCGCTGCCAACCTGCGACGCCCTCTTCCTTCCTTCCTCCTCTTCCTCCTCTGCCTCCTCCCCCTCCTCTCCCTCCTCCTCCTCCTCCTCCCCCTCCTCCTCCCCCTCCTCCTCCTCCTCCTCCTCCTCCTCCTCCTCCTCCTCCTCCTCCTCCTCCTCCCCCTCCTCCTCCCCGCAAGCGAGCGCGCGCGTGCGCGCCTGCCCCGCCCCGCGTCGCCGGCATGTGCAGAGATCCGCGGCCAGGGCGCGGCCGGCCCCAGAAGGAATGAGCTTCGCCGGCGCACTCGGCAGGAAGCGCGCCCACCATCGGATCGCCGCCCTCGCTCGCGCTTCCAACCCGTGTTTTGGCGATTTAGTGGGCCGTTTTCGTTTCGATTTCGTTTTGCGTCAAATTGCGGATTGAAGACAGAACGAGGGAAAACGAAAACATAACGAAAACGAAAAACACAGTTTAGGTTCAGCCCTGTTTGGCGAGGAGCTGGTAGAGTGGCGCTAGGTAGCATCGGCACCCTCGGCCGAAAGCCGCGCTGCCCCCCCCCCCCCAGCGCAGATCTCCCGCCAGCTCGGAGGCCCAGGGGGCGCCCGGCGGCCGAAGGTTCGCAGTGCCCTTGCCCATCTCGCCCACCCGCTTCTCTGTTCGCTCTTCCGGTGCACGGAGGAAGCTCGAGACTGCGTCCTGCGCGCCCTGGCCGGGCCCGCCGCGACATGTCCAGCGCGAACACATGCCGCGGCGCCTCGGGATGCTTTTCCCCGGGTCGCGCGGCCACCGCGACCCCGAGGGCGGGCGCGGCGGCAGCCGCCGAGGTGCGCTGGGCCTCGTCGAGCTGCCACCCTGGCAAGTCTGCCGGAGCGGCCTCCTCTGCCCCGGACCAGCGCGGGCCGGCGAGATCCGCTCGCGGCGCGCCAGCGGCAAACAGGTTGTCTGCGAATCGCCCCGTTCCAATCGACGAAGAAAATTCGCCCAAACATGGAGCCTGTTTTTTTGGAGGGGATTCAGGCAAGTTTACTTGCATGGCGTTCGCCCCCCCCCCCCCCCTCACCCCTCTTCAAGCGAAGACTAGCGTGCAAGTGCCTTTCGACTTGCGTGATTTCCGCGCCTCCCCCCCCCCCCGGGCTTGCTTCAGGCTCAGCCCCCCCCCCCGTCCATGCAAGTAAACTTGCCAGAGTCTAAAAAAAAAACAGGCTCTTGAGCGCTCCGCGCGGAGTTCTTGGATCTGCGTTGGAGCTTCCCGGCGCCGCCCCTGGCGCGCTCCGCGCGCCAGGAAGCGGGGTCCAGCGCAGGTCCAGGATACGCGCACGGAGCGCCAAAAGCTTCCCCCATCCGAGCTCGCCTCTGTAGGGGTCCTAGCGGATTCAAATGGTTAAGTTAGGCTTGCCGCCGCTTTTCGCGGCACGCCCGGGTGCCCCAGGGTGCCCGGGGGTGCCCGGGGGCCCGGGGGCCCGGGGGCCCGGGGTGCCCGGGGGTGCCCGGGTGCCCGGGTGCCCGGGTGCCCGGGGATGCCCGGGCGTGCCCGGGCGTGCCTGGGCGTGCCCGGGAGTGCACCGGGGGTGCCCTATATAGCCCAATTGCCCAACAGCCCTAATTATAGCCCTGCAACTCTATCGGAGGTGAGGGGGTGAGATCGAAGTGGAACGGAGAGCCTCCCTACCGGGAAATCGGTTTCGGTTTCGTGTTCGTGCGTGCCGTGCGTGCGGGCGAGGCGAAGCTGCGTGGGCGGGCGAGAAGAATGTCTCCTCCGGCTGAGGCGCGGCCAGACCAAATGATTCCTTTCCGGGGGCCGGTGGCCCGCGGTGCCCCGCCGGTGTCCCGCCTTTGGCTGAGGCGCGGCCGGACCAAGTGATTCCTTTTCGGGGGCCGGTGGCCCGCGGTGTCCCGCGGGTGTCCCGCTGGTGTCCCGCCGGTGTCGCGTCGGTGTCCTGTCGGTGTCCCGATGATGATGATGATGATGATGATGATGATGATGATGATGATGATGATGATGATGATGATGATGATGATGATGATGATGATGATGATGATGATGGTGATGGTGATGGTGATGGTGATGGTGATGGTGATGATGATGGTGATGGTGATGGTGATGGTGATGGTGATGGTGATGGTGATGGTGATGGTGATGGTGATGGTGATGGTGATGGTGATGGTGATGGTGATGGTGATGGTGATGGTGATGGTGATGGTGATGATGATGACGGTGATGGTGATGGTGACGGTGATGGTGATGGTGATGATGATAATAATGGTGATGTCGATGATGTTGATGATGATGGTGATGATGATGATGGTGGTGATGATGATGGTGTCCCGATGATGATGAATGTGATGATGATGATGTTGACCATGTTGATGGTGATGATGGTGATGGTGATGATGATGGTGTCCCGATGATGATGATGTTGATGATGATGATGATGATGTTGCTGATGATGGTGATGATTGTGTCCCGGTGATGATGATGGTGATGATAATGGTGTTGATAATCCTGATCATGATGAGATGGTGATGATGAGACGTTGATGATGATGATAAAGATGATGATGGTGTCCCAATGATAATCATGATGCTGCTGATGATGATGAGGTTGATGATGATGCTGGTGATAATGATGGTGATGATGATGGTGTCCCGATGATGATGTTGATGATGCTGATGACGATGATGGTGTCCCAATGATGATGATGTTGATGATGAGGATGATGATGAGGTGGTGATGATGGTTTTGATGGTGATGGCCCGATGATGATGCTGATGTTGATGATGATGGTGTCCCGATGATGATGATGATGGCGATGATGATGATGGTGACGATGATGATGGTGTCCCGATGATAATGATGATGATGTTGATGATGTTGCTGATGATGATGATGGTGTCCCGATGACGATGATGCTGATGATGTTGTTCATGATGATGAGATGATGAGGATGATGGTGGTGTTCCGATGATGATGGTGGTGTCCCGATGATGATGATGGTGATGATGATGGTGACGATGATGATGTCCCGATAATGATGATTGTGATGATGATGTTGATGATGATGATGGTGATGAGGTGGTGATGATGATGATGGTGTCCCAATGATGATGATGATGATGATGATGATGATGATGATGATGATGATGATGATCATGATGATGATGATAATATTGATGACGTTGATGACGAGGATGTTGATGATGCTGATGATGACGTTGATTGTGAGGTCGATTGTGATATCGATAGCGAGATCGATAATGAGACCGAATGCGAGATCGATTGTGAAATCGATAGTGAGATCGATGGTGAGATCGATTGTGAGATCGATAGTCATGTCGATTGTGAGATCGATCGAATGAAATAGACCGAGTGAGATCGATTGTATCATCGACCGAGTGAGATCGATCGAACGAGACCGATAGTGAGATCGATTGTGAGATCGATAGTGAGACCGATCGAGTGAGACGTTGGTTCCTCCCCCCCCGAACCTCCTTATCACCCGAAGGGTGGTCGTATAGGTTGCCCTATAGCTCTATAGCCCTATAGCTCAATAGCCCTATAGCCCTACAGCCCCCCTAGCCCTATAGCCCTGATTGGTTTTTTTCTCCGGTCTCATGATATTTATAGCGTTTTTTCCTTCTTCTGTAAGAGAAGGAGCAGCATCGCCAGAATCCGCTGGCCGGTCGCATTCGCCGGCGCGCGGGCGCCCTCGCCGCGATCGGCACCGGCCTGGATCGCCGCCCCGAGGCGCTCCCGCGCGCTCGCGCAGCTGTTTTGTTGGCTAGGTTTAGCAGTCAGAGACAATATATTCAGAGTGCTCGCCCGTTTCGTACTCTGGCTTGAGGCAAGAGGCAGTTGCTCAAAGCGCCCCCTGGGCTGTGGCGGACGAAAGGGGGGGGATTCTGGTCGACTACACGTGAAAGTGACCCTTCGCCGGAGTGACTTTTGTTGCGGGCTCATCGGGCCCCCCCCGATCGCTGAGCGCGATGCGATCGCGGCCGCTTGCGCGCCTAGACTTGGCCACACTGTGCCCCCGTTCAGTCCGCGCGCCAAAGGTCACTCTTGCCAAGGGTCACCTCTTGCGCGTAGCCGATTCGGGGAAGGGGGTATCGGCGATGCGGGCCTCCCCCAGATGGGGTCGGAGCAGATGGGTCGGGGGATCGCGCCGCAGCGCCGATGCATCGGCGATGTGGTTCCATGTGCAGCCCGGATCTCTCCACGCCGACGTCGCCGATGCATCGCCGATGTCGACGATGCATCGCCGATGCATTGGCGATGCGGCGCGATTTTTTGTGCCCATCCATCGAGGAGGCCTGGCCTGATCGACGAGGTCGACATCCAGATCTCGAAGGCTATGTCTCAGGTCCTGGCGTTGCTGTTTCGACGTCGGCTTCCGGGGCCCGCTATATGGGGACCCATGGGCCATCAACAGATTACAGCCAAGACTCTGAAATAAGGACCGGTTTGGGTTCGGAAGGGGCTCGGGGATTTGGGTCGTTTCTTAGATTCATGCTGCGGGATTTGCGTGTGGCCTGGGCCCACCGTGGCCAGCAAGGCCCCTCTGTTCCTTATTTGGGCGTCCCTTCTGGTAGCACCTCGGTTGTATCTCGGGCGACGAAATCTATACATATCCACTGCTCCCTGACCATGCCCATCTTGAACCCAGGAGCTGTGTATGCGCCCTCCTGGCCAAGCCAGGAGGGCGTGGCGTATACACCGCTGCGGGGTCGAGGATGGGCCTGGCCAGGGAGCAGTGGATATGTATAGATTTCGTCGCCCTATGTATCCATGACAAAACACGACCCTTCGGGGAAGGGGTCGAGGCCCCCGCGGGGCCGCGCGCTGCAAATCTCACGTCGAGGTCCGGGCACGTAGCCGCCCCAGGCCGGGCCCAGGTGCGGTGCATGTGCCGCCCTGGCCCAGCCACGGGGGCGTACACGCCGCTCCTGGGTCCCGGCTGGGCACGGCCATGGGGCAGTGGTTCTGTGTACCCAGGCCCCCTCGAGTGATGAAAAATTCAAGACGGGAGGTTCTTCGCTATTTTTGGCCTTTGGGGGCCCTTGCCGGCCCTCGGGACCGTCAAAAAACGGCTCAGGACGAAAAATCGGTCCCGGGGAATGGGTCCAGACCGCTGGGGGTCGACGTCATAAAAAATTCATGACGTCGGGGGTCTGGGTACGTAGATCACGTCGCCCTTGGATGGAACGTGGAGTTGCGAAACCTGCCATATGCAGCCGGCTTCGGCCCCGCCGCCGGGCGATCTTCCCTATACATGGTCGCCTCGGGCGCCGGGATGCTTCGGGAAACGTCTGCATGCAGCCCAGGCGCCAGCCGCCCGGCCCCCCCCCCCCTTCTGCTTGTCGCCCCCCCCTTCGCCCGACCCGATCAGCCTCAGTCCCCCGTCGAGCCCGGCGCGCCATGAGGGCGGCTGTCGTGGCCCTGGCGCTCTTGACCTGCGCCCTGCCCGCGGCTGGCGACAGGGCCGACGTGGACGGGATCCTGCAGGAGCTGGCCGCCGTGCGCGAGCGCGCCGGGCAGCTGGAGGCCCTGGTGCGCGCGAGGCGCCTGCAGGACCCGCAGGAGGCACACCGCACGCCACCGCCGTGCCTGGCCTCCCGCGGGGGAGGACGGGCGAGCGGCGCGAACGTGCGTACATTTTCGGAGCTCCGCGCGGATGCCTCGCGTCGGCGGGAGGAGGCCCCTGGCGGCGCCTCGGGCGGCTCGCCTCGCGCGGCGCGCACGGCAGGGCCCTGGGGATCCGCGCCGGCCCAGGGGAATCCGGTGGCCTCGACCAGCGTGTCGCACCGCAGGCTCGTGTCCTGCTGATGCTGCTGGGCCGATTTTCCAACGCCATTACCATATATGTGGGAGAGTAGGGAGGAGGAGGAGGAGGAGGAGAAGGAGGAGGAGGAGGAGGAGGAGGAGGAGGAGGAGGAGGAGGACCTCCCCATCCTCCCCTCTCCCCCGTTCTACATGACTGGCAGTGGTGGTGGAAAACTGATCCAGATGTGGCGACCTCGTCGCGGGCGTTCTGGGTGCAGCGCCGCCAGTGGCCCAGACTCGGCCGACGCTGAACGGCCCGCTCTGACTCCTCGCCGCGACCGCTCGAGGTCGAGCGGTGCCTGCGGTGTCGAGAACCAGCGCCGTCGTCGCCAGGGCACCGACCTGCGCAGACGCCGCCGTTCACCGGCAACGACAGGGGGGCGACGCATCGACCGACGAATCTCCTAATCCCCGCCGATGGGGGCCCGACTGCCCCACCCCGCACAAGACCATACGGATTCGCTGACCGAGTGCGGGCGATAATAAAGTACCCCTCCCCTTTCCCCCCTCTATTTTTTGATCCCCGTCCAGCAGGATTTAATTGTGGAGATAGGCGCGGAGGCCGAGGTTTCTAATCCCCGGGGAAAGTTGCGAATCGAAGTTGCTATCATCTCATGTTGACTAGCAACAGCGTCAAAAACGCTGAGCATGGCCATGGTGGTCTCACCACACCAGCGTCCGCAATCACGAGCGTGTGGCAGGGATGTGGGATTCTCACCAGTTCAGTTTGTCCAAGCTACGAACGTGCGGCAGGGCCATGTGATGATACCACCTCCTCATGCTTCTTCTCCTCTTCCTCTTTTTCATTATTATTATTAGTATCATCATTATCCTTGTTATATTGCGAATCGAAGTTGCTGTCATCTCATGTTGACTAACAAGAGCTTCAAAACCGCTCTTCGTCTCCTCCTCTTCCTCTTCCTTGCCTTCTTCCTCGTCTCCTCTTCCTTTTCCTCTTCCTTCTCTTCCTTCTCGTTCTCCTCCTCCCCCTCCCCCCCCGGATTCCGAACTGTTTTTATCCCCCGTGATTTTTTATCTCCCGCTGGGTCCCACCATGGATACCCCTACATGCGATATTGAAAACGATTAGAACGAACCATTTGTTACACATAAAAAATTTAGGTCCCGAATCCAAACATTGTTTGGAAATCGATCCTGGGGCCATCCTTTCTCGTCCTTCTCCCACCCTTCTTCCTCTCTTGTGCTGAGCGCTTGCTGGCGAGTTGTATAGCCACGAGCCCCGAGATCTCTCGAGTCAGTCTCTTGTGTTGAGCGCCTGCTGGCAAGTTGTATTGCCATGGGCCTCGAGATCTCTCGAGTCAGCCTTGCGCCGAGCGCCCAGGATCATCATCATCATCATCATCATCATCATCATCATCATCATCATCATCATCATCATCATCATCATCATCATCATCATCATCGTCATCGTCATCGTCATCGTCATCGTCATCGTCATCGTCATCGTCATCGTCATCGTCATCATCAGCAGCATAATTCTCATCCCCAGGAAAAACTTGTATCATCCCCGCCAGAACCCCGAACTTTATAATCCCCGGGGGACTATTATCGCCCGCGCACGGGTATCGGGGGCCTATCGCCGATCTATCGGCGATGCATTGCCGATGCCAGGTCGATGGTTCCCCCCCTGTGCCAGCCTCCCCCCTATCGTGGCCCCGCAGCCCTTGGAAGCAGAAGGCACAGCGCAACCATGACCGCGCGGAGGTCCGCGCTGGTTTCTTGGATTGCTGAGGCCTCCGCGACGGAAGAGGCATGCCAGAAGGCCGGGATCAGGCGCTCCCAAGGGTGCCCAGGAGGCTACAAGAGGCGGTGCCCAAGAGCCCCATACGAAGTTTTGGGGGTGTCTTGAGAGCCGTTTGGGGGCCTCATGGGACTTCCCGACGGATGTCCGTGCCTATTTCGTGGCTTCCTTGTCCCCTGCGCGCGCAAGCAAGCGTGCCACGGGGAGGGGGGCGAAGGCACCCACCTGAGAGAGGTGCGCGCCTGCCTTCGACAGCTCACAGGCTGGTGAGGCGCTGTTGGCCCCCTGACCTGCTGTATACACCCCCGCCCTCAGACCCGTGGAGATCGAGGAGGATCGAGGCGGAGGACTGGATGAGGATCGAGGAGGCGGAGGATCGGGGAGAAGGCGGAGGATCGAAGAGGGGGAGGCATGTCGTCGAGGAAAAGGAGGATCGAGCAGAATCGAGGACGACGGAGGAGGCGGAGAGGGGCCATCGAGGAGGAGGTGGAGGATCAATGAGGACAGGGCAGGCGGATCGAGCAGGGGGAGGCAGATTGCGGCTGGACGGCGTCTCGCAGCGCTGGTGCTGGCCCACCCCACCACGCTTCGGCGCGACACGCTACTAGAGCCTGTTTTTCTTTAGACTCAGGCAAGTTTACTTGCATGGACGGGGGGGGGGGCTGAGCCTGAAGCAAGCCGAAAACAATTCGATGTGCGGAAATCACGCAAGTCGAAAGGCACTTGCACGCTCGTGTTCGATTGAAGAGGGGCGAGGGGGGGGGGGGGGGGGGGGGGGGGGGGGGGGGGCGCGAACGCCATGCAAGTAAGCTTGCCTGGATATAAAGAAAAACAGGCTCTTACAGTCGGGGCGCTGAAGAAGGAACCCTTCCGTTGGGGAGGGGCTCGGTGTTCCGTGATTGTTCAGGATTTTGCCTCGGGTTTTCCGGAGGTTTCCCATGGGAAATTGAAGTTTGATCTATGGGGCGAAGGCGCCTCGTTCCCGATTCAGGGTTCCTTGTTTCAGGGTCCCGGCTGTATCCACTTCCCAGTTCCTGGGCGTCAGCTTCTCGAGTTTGCCCGAGCCTCCCGTCCCGCGGAGCTGAGCGGCACGCTTCCCTTCTTGCATGGTGCAGCGTGTCGCCGGTGACGCCGCCGCGACCCGCTATCCAGAAATTCCCGACCGTATTGGGAGGTGTCAATCAGGAGGGAAAAAACACACAGACACAATTGATCATATGGGAAAACGTGGGAAGTGGGGGGGAAGACAAAAACCATAGAAATATTGGAAAATATGGGGGATCCTGTTATTAGTGTGTATTCACTCGTGTGTCCCAGGGCCCCTTCAAAGAATGGGGAAGGATGGAAGATGACACGCTACAGTTAAGCAGTAAATCACGGAAGATTCCGCTCGTCTTGAATTGCATGTGTTTCGGCAACTTGCGCCAAATAACCGTCAGTAGCGCCCAAGAGCATGAAGCAGCGCCTACTAGCGCCCAGCAATGCCCGACTAGCGCCGAACAGCGTGACGTTTCGCAGTGTGGAGGAGGTGCATTACGCCCGCTCTACTCGCTGTTGGCCGTGCTATTCGGGCGCCATGGGCACGGCCAGCTGTTTCCGTGAGTTGCTCCTTAAGCGGAAAGGATGGAAGAGAGGCCCAGATGGGGGGGGGGTAACGGAGGATGACGATTAATAAATGACCGGGGGTCGTGTTCACGCGTCGGCGCCCAGGATGACGATTCGAAAAAACAGGCCGCGGGCTGGAACACTTTTTTTTTTAAACCGTTCCCCTCCAGTCCGAAAATTGTGCAGAAAGAGCAGAACACTATTTGTTTACTCGTTCTCCCCCCTTCTTCGTATTCATCGTCATCCCGCATGAGATCTCTTTCCAGCGCCGCCCGCTCTTCCTGGCCTGGCACGGTGGCGGCGCAGCGGGCGCCCGCCGCGGGGCAGGAGGCGGGGCCCCCGGAGGCGGCGGTCGTGCTCGAGGATGCCCCCGCGCGCCGCGCCGAGTACGAGGACCCCCGCGGTGCACGGAAAGGGGGTTGCGGCGAGGGGGGAGGGCGTGGCATCGCTCGGACGTGGGCACTTTGTTCCTCCGGCGAGGGCCCTCGAGGAGCATCCTTGGTCAGTTGGCGAAGAAGCCACGCACGACGCCGACAAAAAAGCACCGGGAATGGGCGTCCGGGCGATGGCCAGAGGGGGTCTAGGCTTGTGGAGGTCGGTCAACGGAGAGGAAGCATGCTGCCAAATAGGTCCCAGATGTCAAAACAGACTTCAAGCATGTATGACATATGTAAAGACATGTCCGAGACATGTATAGAAGATGTTTGACACAGTTGAAACACAGTTTGAATTCAATGATCGGATTGTTCGAGCGTCCATTGTCATGGCACCCACAAGTCTAGGCCTCCCACATGAGGTCCGAGTAGATGGGGTCGGGGGATCGCGCCGCATCGTCGATGCGTCGGCGATGCAACTCAATGTGGAGCCCGATTTCTGCCACGCCGACGGCGCCGATGCATCGCCGACGATGCATCGGTGTTGTATCGCCTACGCATCGGCGATGCGGCGCGCTCCTACGACCCCATCTGGGAGGCCCCTGGGGGGGCCTTTCCGAGGAGGCGAGGGGTCGTGGGCAGAACAGCGAAGAACCAAAAGCCGGCTCTGCTGTTCATTTCTTGGAGGTCCGCGCGGGTTTCTTGGATCCGGCGCCTCCGTCACCACCCCTGGCGCTTTCCGCGCGCCAGGGAGGGGCGGGGGTTCCAGTGCCGTTCGACGGACTCCGCGCGGACCTCCGGGGCCTGATGTGCATGGAGGTTTCTGCTTCTGTAGCACATCCGTGTCCCCGGCCTTGCGGGCTGGGCCCCTGGGCTGCGACCCCGTGGATACGGGCGCTTACTTCGTAGATTCCCCGCGCAGAGCATGTCCATGTGATCGTGCATCCGCGGGGTCGCGGCCCAGAATCCAGTTGGCGAGCGCGTGGATATGGACACGTTCACCGCTCGTGAGGGGGGCTTCTTGGAAGGCCCTCCCAGGGTCCATTTAAATCTGATCGATTCGATTCGAGATCGCTTCTGGCCAGCTGCATCGGATTCGATGTCGATATTCCGACGATCCGATGCGGTCCGATGTTCGCATGGCGTCGGCCTGCGTCCTGGCGCGGCCGATCCGACGCGCGTTTCAATCCGATCCGCTCGCAGTCGATGCTGACTGATCCGGGCCCCCCCGCCCGCTTGTTTAGGATGACGATGCACAAAAATACTCGGGGGGGCGGCGGGTGGGCGTCCCGCCGCAGCAGCGCCCGGGGCGATGATCAAAGAATTGGGTTCCCGGCCCGCTCGTGGGCGTCGTCGTCAGCGGCGCTGAGGCCGTTTCATCGTTCTCCAACCTCCTTCCTAGCGGCGGAATGCTATGCTCTTCTCGCTTCCCTGGGGCCCCAGGTTCTTTCGGGCCGGACGAAAGGGGGGGATTGGGCAAGGGGGAGTTACGAAATTTGCTGCATGCAGCTGGTGTCGGCCCCACCGAGGGGCCCATTCCTCGATGCATAGTCGCCTCTGGCGCCGGGAGGCGCGGGGAAAGTCAGCGACGCGGGCTGTTTCTCAAACCTCCCCTTTTGCTATCCCTCCTCTCGCCCGACCCGATTCTTGTCCTCAAGAAGAGCTCCCATCAGCGAACGCAGTCCACGAAACAGGGCACGGTAGGTTCGCGTCGTGTCGACCGGCGGCGACCCCGACGCCGGCGTTCAACGTTGAACGCCGGCGGAGGCCCAGAATCGGTCGATGTTGAACGATCGGACGTTGCGGAAATGGCCGATCGTTCAAGGTTGAACGATCCTCGCGGCGTCAGGGACCAACGCCCAGGTCGACACGGCACGAAACAGGGCACGCAATTTCGCCGGAGACTGCAGCGCACGTGGGCCGGACGACGTGCCCAGGCGCGACGTGCGCTGGCTGCGGCCCCTGCGTCTTGCCCCATCGCGGGTCGGCCCCCTTGGACGGGCCTGTTTTCCACCACCACCACCACCAGTTGGAGGGGGGAAGGAGGAGGACGAAGAGAACGAGGAGGAGGAGGAGGAGGAGGAGGAGGAGGAGGAGGAGGCCTCCCCCTCCAACTGATGGTGGTGGTGGTGGTGGTGGAGAACAGGCTCATCATCCTTGACCAGGCACGACGCGCCTCCCCCCTGCCCCTCCCTGCTCAGGAGCCCTTTTCCGAGGGTCCCCGTGGCGTTGCTCGGAGGCCGCCTCCCCTCTCGCCCCACCCAGCGCCCGCGCCCCCGCGCGCCCGCCGCAGGAGCCGTGCACTGGCTACCAGGAGCACATGCCGTACGGGACGTGATGGGCCTGTTTTCCACCACCACCACCACAAGTTGGAGGGGGGAAGGAGGTGGAGGAGGAGGAGGAGGAGGAGGAGGAGGAGGAGGAGGAGGAGGAGGAGGAGGAGGAGGTGGAGGAGGAGGAGGGAGGAGGAGGAGGAGGAGGAGGAGGAGGAGGAGGATGAGGACCCCCTCCCCCTCCTACTGATGGTGGTGGTGGTGGAAGACGGGCCCATCAGGATGTGCATGGCGAGCGTCTTTTTCCACACGTCTCTCGACCTCGTGCTGGCCAACCCCGTCTCCTTCGGGCTCTGCCTGGCGCTCTACCTCTTCCTCGGCTGCGCGGGGAGCTGCTTCGAGTTCACGTGGCGGCACGGCCAGACCTGGGTGAACTTCAGCCGCGCCGTGGTCGTGGCCGGCTTCTACTACCTGCAGCCGTTGACTGACGACCCCACCGTGGCCAGCTACATCGCCATCGGTGTCTGTGTCGTCGTGGGCGATTTTGTCAACTCGCTGGGGTCCGTCAGGGCCAAGCAGAAAGAGTGGACCGGGGCCAGACTGAGCCTCTTCGAGACCGGGAAGCAGGAGACGCCCATGGGCACCATGCTGGCAGTGTACAAGACTCCCGGCGATTACGTCGTCGGGAACAGGTACATGGAGCTCTCGTACCCGTTCTCGCGCGTGTGCCTGTACTTCTTTGTGCAGTCGTCTTTGTTTGCTCTGTACACTTTCCACATGATGGGCCTGAGGTCGAAGACGAAACAACCGCATCAACGTACGCGCGGATCTCTTGGATCGTCGCTGGGTCCCCCTCCCTGGCGTGGGGAGCGCGCCAGGAGCTGCGCCGCAGGCGCCGCTAGGGGGCCAAGCGCCGATCTGAGAAAACCGCGCGGAGGTCCGACAGGTTCTGTTGGCGCAGTTGTTTCTTCCTTTGGTCGGCGGCGAGCGAGGGGGGGGGGGAATGAGAAGGAGAAGGCCTTCTCGTAAGGTTCGGAAGCTACCCGGCCTTCTGAAAATTGTTCAAAGCCTTCATCGAAGACAGGGAAAGCTTCTGAGAAGGCGCGAGGGCTGCAGAGAAGCCTCGCCGTCTTCCGAGCAGGCCTTCTTCTTCTCACTTCCCCCTCTCGCTCGCCGCCGGTCTGTGAGGGCCGAGTACTTCTCGACGCCTAAGGACATTAGCATCGTTTAACCGGTCCTGATCCCCATTGCCATCCCCATCCCGACTCCCACCACCCCAGTTGGGGAGATGCCCCTCGAATTCCGAAGGGAACAGCCTATATCCCCATCTAGGGGATACATCGGTCAGTGGGGCCCAGGCCACGCTGGTGGGGATAGGGATCAGTTCAACGATGCTCAGGACAGGAAGGAGAATGTGGACATGGCCTTCTGGTTCTTCTCCATGTGCCTGTGCAACCTGGCCGGGGCGGACAACCTCGGCGGCCGATACAATGCCTTCTACTGGCAGGACATCAGCGACGTGGCCGACCAAGAACTCTTCAGTGGAAAGAAGAGTCACCATTGGTTTGGGTTCATGCCCGTTATCCAATTGCGCTGCCGCGCGATTCCCCTCAGATCATGGCGCTGCAATCTTACCACAACGGGCGTCTCGGCCCAGTTCGGGCCCTGGGACCCTCACAGATTAATCTAGCCCGATCATGACGCAGAAAGGTGGGGTCTTGGGCTCGAGTCGTGCTTTTTTGCGATGTTCGGCGGCCGGCCATGGGGGGAATTGAGGGGGCGGGCCTTTTCAGAAGGTTCGGAAGTCCTCCGGCCTCCGGAGAAGTTCCCCAAGCCTTTGCCGGATACGTGGAAAGCACTCCAGAAAGCTTGAGAGCTTCTGAGAAGCCCCGCCGCCTATGCAAAGGCCACCTCCTTCTCACTTCCCACCCCCTCCTCGGCGGAGGGATCCTTCTCCCCCCCCTCCTCCTCCTCCTCCTCCTCCTCCCTCCCTCCTCCTCCTCCCCCCTCCTCCTCCTCCTCCTCCTCCTCCTCATCCTTCCTCTTCCTCCTCCTCCTCCATCCTCCTCCTCCCTCCTCCTCCTCCCTCTCCTCCTCCTCCTCCTCCTCCCCCTCCTCCTCCTCCCTCCCGCCCCCCTTGGCAACGTCGGATCTCGGGGTCCGCCGCCGCGCTCGAGGCGGGGCGGCGGGGGAGCGCCTGGGAGGCCAGGGGCCCGGGGGAGGGGAGGGGCGCGGCGGGAGGGGCGCGCCCGGGGGGGGGGGGGGGAAGGGGCGTCCATGGCGCCCGGTTGCCCCGGCCTCCGCGTTGGGGTTGTCTGTGTTTTGGTCGGAGGGCGGTGCACGCAGGGACTGGGCGGAACCTGTCCCACCTCCTCCTCCTCCTCCTCCTCCTCCGCGTCCTCCTCCTCCTCCTCCTGCTCCTCTTCCTCCCCCTCCCCCTCCTCGTCCTCCTCCTCCTCCTCCTCCTCCTCCTCCTCCTCCTCCTCCTCCTCCTCCCTCCTCCCTCCAAGGGTATGGGGTGGGTGGTCTCAGTGTGATGCATCTGCAAGGCGGCCACCTGTCTCCATTTTTTGGGGGGCCTCCTAGCTTGGGCCCTCTCCCAAAGGGTTAGAGGGGCACTCCTCATTGCGCATCGGAGCAGATGAAGGGATCTTGGGTTCGATGCGCCGGAAGGCCTCGGTCAATTATGGCTTCGCAAGAAGCGGAATAGAGGAAAAGGACATCTCCGGCACATACACACACCAACCATTGCAAGCGTGGTGGCGGAGTTTCAAGAACGAATGGAGGTTGCGCAGATTCATGTCTTTCTTCGTCAACGGTATCTGCCGGTCGTGCATACTTGGGACGGCACCCATACTCATGTCTGTTGCCGACCCTCTTTCCGTCATCAAAGACTCTATGGCCGTTTTCTTCCTCACGACTATTGACGACCTTCCTGACGCGAAGTCTTTAATTGAAGAGCTCTTCGTTACCTACTCCACTGCCAACCCGGAGGACCCGAAGTCCAAGACGCTTCTGTCCCAGGTGACGGCGAACGCGGAGAAGGCGAAGAAGGATGCCAGCCAGGCCGTTGAGAGTAAGAACGATGCCAGCCCGACGCCAGCCTAAGGCCAGCCTCGCACGACCGCAGGGTTTACGTATTCGCGGGGCGTGAGAAGGAGATTATTTTGGCATAGCGAGAGTCCGACCACTGTGGACTGCTCGATGAAGCCCAAGAGTTCTCAGATCTCGACTGCGCATCTCTCCACTCCAGCCTGGCTCTAGAGCGCGACGAGCGACCTCTAGACCGCGACTCGGCGGCTACTGAACGCCCATCTCGAATAAATGCAAGGTACGTGAGCATAGACTCTCGGAGGCCCTCTCGGATTTCTCCGATCCTCGCTGGGGTCCCCGGGGCCCTAGTGGCGTCTCCGGCGCCTCCCATGGTGCGCTCCGCGCGCCGGGGAGGAGTGTCCAGCGCCGATGCGAGAAATCCGCTCGGACCTACGGAAGTTTACTTGGAAAGTGGATACACATGGGACGTTCAAAAGGGCCTTGTCTTCGAGGATCGAAGGAGTTGCCATCTCTTCCGCCGCGGAAGGCGGCGGAAGGTCGGCGGAGGTAAAGCGACGCCGCCTCCGCCGGCGGAAGCCGGCGGAAGGCCGCCGGATGGTGGCGGAGGTAATAAACAAGCAGTGGCGAAGCGTCCCGGCTCGTTTATAGTCCCACCAAACAATGTTCTAAGAACTTCTTGTGGTTTCCACGACCTCTTCTCAGAACGTGTCTGGCGGAGCCCGTCTTGTTTTAGCACATCGGGTGCATGTTCTGAGAGCGGTGCTCTTGCTCTTGGAGCATGCTTGGGTTCTGAGAACATCGGGTCGGGCGAAAGGGGGGGATTGGGAAAGGGGGGGCTACGAAATTTGCTGCATGCAGCTGGTTTCGGCCTCACCGAGGGGCCCATTCCTCGATACATGGCCGCTCCTGGCGCCGGGAGGCGCCGGGAAAATCAGCTACGTGAGCTGATTCTCAAACCCCCAGCGTTCTGGACCCCCAGCATTCTGGACCCTTTCCCCGGGACCTGTTCTTCGTCCCGATAAGGGCCCCCAGAGGGCCAGTAAGGGCCCCCAGAGGCCAAAAATAACGAGAAACCTCCCGTCGTGATTTTTTCATACCTCGAGGGGGTCTGGGAGAACAGCTCGTGGCAGGACTGCAAGAAGGCCGGGACGGTCGGCCCCCCAGGAGATGGCATCGCCTTGGGGCCCCGGGCCTCCGCCACCGCCCACGGGGCCGCGGCCAGCCTGGGCGATGGCCGGAGGCACGCCGCGGCCGCGTGTCAGGAGGGAGAGAAACACACAGACACAATGAATCGCCCCCTCCCAGGAAAATATGGGAAAATATGGGAAGGAGGGGGAAGACAGAAGCCCAGAAGATGTGGGAGAATGTGGGGGATCTTCTTCTTTGTGCGTACTTGTTTGTGTGTCCCAGGGCCCCTTCAGCGTGGCCCTCCGGCGCCCGGCCCGTGCCGGTCGGGGCCAGGCTTATGTCGGGCGTCTCCCCCTACAGGGGCTTTTCCACGGAAAAATACAAAAAACTACCCCCAAAATACCCCAAGAAGGTCAAAACGTATTCCAAACATACTCCACGAAAAATTCAAACAAATCCCCCCACATGCCCCAAGAAGGTCCAAACAATAGTCCTAACATAGCCCCCAGACTATCTTCAGAGCATTTGTTTGACGATGTTGGGGGTATTTTTTTGTGTTTTTCGTCGAAGATCCCCCTGCAGGGGGACAGGCCCGACTAAAGGCCAGGGCGCACGCTGGGCTCCCGCGTGCGCGCCTCCGGCGCGTGGCCTCCGGAGAGGCTCCGCACACGGGAGGCCGGCCCCCGTGCGTCTCCGTGGTCCCGGCGCCGCTCACTGTCGCTTGGCTCGCTGCCGACGCGGGGACGTAGGGCACGGCCACCGCCTGTCGGGGGCGGAAAGGAGCCTGTTTTTCTTTGGACTCGGGCAAGTTTACTTGCATGGCGTTCGCCCCCCCCCCCCCCCCCACCCCCCCCCCCCTCCCCCCCCCCCCCCTCTCCCCGCTCGCCCCTCTTCAAGCGAATATATAGCGTGCAAGTGCCTTTCGACTTGCGTGATCTCCGCGCCCCCCCCGAGCGTGCAAGTCGTTTGCGGCTTGCTTCAGGCTCAGCCCCCCCCCCGTCCATGCAAGTAAACTTGCCAGAGTCTGAAAAAAAAAACAGGCTCAACGAGGGGGGTGATGACTAGGGAGGGGGGGGATATCATGGCGGGGGCCCTGATATCTCCCCAGATCTCATGGCGCCTCTTCTTCTTTCATTGCGTCCCTGGCCCCCCCCGCTGGGCCGCGCACATGCCGCCGGCCATGATTTGCACCCCCCCCTCTTGGACACCCCCCTCTTGGCCGCTCCCGAGAAATGTAGACACGACCACCGCCTGGAGGACCAGCTTCCGAAGCAGCCTCGGCAGGCGGTGGATATGGACATTAATCGGGCCCCCGGGGGCCGAAATATGTCCATATATCCACCGCCCGCTGGGCCCCAGGACGTCGATTCCCAGGCGGTGGATATGTATGAATCCCCGCTTCGCATCTCTTCTGTTGCTGGAAGGAGAAGAAGCGCCATAAACATAAACGTTTGGCGCTCCGCGCGGATTTCTTGGATCCGCGCTGGGGCCCCTGGCGCGCTCAGCGCGCCAGGGAGGGGGTCCAGCGCAGTTCCAAGAAATCCGCGTGCAGCGCCAAAAGTTTTGTTTCCAACCATCCTGTGGTGTTGGGTCCTCGTTTTGAAGAGACGTCGCCCCGCGTTCCTCCTTCCTCCTCCCTCCTCCTCCCCTTCCTCCCCCCTCCTCCCTCTCCCACACCCATTCTGGCACACCCCTCACACGTTTCGTGGCCCCATAGGGAGCTCCACCGAAGGCCCCAGTGGCTGCGCCCGCATGCGGTTCCACCCCCCATTCTGGCACACCCCTCACACGTTTCGTGGCCCCATAGGGAGCTCCACCGAAGGCCCCAGTGGCTGCGCCCGCATGCGGTTCCACCCCCCATTCTGGCACACCCCTCACACGTTTCGTGGCCCCATAGGGAGCTCCACCGAAGGCCCCAGTGGCTGCGCCCGCATGCGGTTCCACCCCCCATTCTGGCGCACCCCTCACACGCGTCGTGGGTGGCTCCATGGGAGCTCCACCGAAGGCCCAGTGGCTGCGCCCGCATGCGGTTCCACCCCCCATTCTGGCACACCCCTCACACGCTTCGTGGCCCCATAGGGAGCTCCACCGAAGGCCCCAGTGGCATGCGCCCGCATGGGTCCACCCCCACCCTTCGGCCACACCATCACACGCTTCGTGGCCCCATAGGGAGCTCCACCGAAGGCCCCAGTGGCTGCGCCGCATGCGTTCCACCCCATTTCGGCACACCCCTCACACGTTTCGTGGCCCCCATAGGGAGCTCCACCGAAGGCCCCAGTGGCTGCGCCGCATGCGGTTCCACCCCCATTTCGGCACACCCCTCACACGTTTCGTGGCCCCATAGGGAGCTCCACCGAAGGCCCCAGTGGCTGCGCCGCGCATGCGGTTCCCCCCCCATTTCGGCACACCCCTCACACGTTTCGTGGCCCCATAGGGAGCTCCACCGAAGGCCCAGTGGCTGCGCCCCGCATGCGGTTCCCCCCCCCATTCTGGCACACCCCTCACACGTTTCGTGGCCCCATAGGGAGCTCCACCGAAGGCCCCAGTGGCTGCGCCCGCATGCGGTTCCACCCCCCATTCTGGCACACCCCTCACACGTTTCGTGGCCCCATAGGGAGCTCCACCGAAGGCCCCAGTGGCTGCGCCCGCATGCGGCTCCACCCCCCCATTCTGGCACACCCCTCACACGCTTCGTGGCGCCATAGGGAGCTCCACCGAAGGCCCCAGTGGCTGCGCTGGCATGCGGTTCCACCCCCCATTCTGGCACGCCCCTCACACGTTTCGTTGCCCCTATAGGGAGCTCCACCGAACGCCGCAGTGGCTGCGCTCGCATGCGGTTCCACCCCCCATTCTGGCACACCCCTCACACGCGTCGTGGGTGGCTCCATGGGGAGCTCCACCGAAGGCCCCAGTGGCTGCGCTCGCATGTGGTCCCCCCCCATTTCGGCACACCCCTCACACGGTTCGTGGCCCCATAGGGAGCTCCGCCGAAGGCCCCAGTGGCTGCGCTCGCATGCGGTTCCACCCCCTTTTTCGGCACGCCCTTCACACGTCTCGTGGCCCCATAGGGAGCTCCACCGAACGCCGCAGTGGCTGCGCTCGCATGCGGTTCCCCCCCCCATTTCGGCACACCCCTCACACGTTTCGTGGCTCCATAGGGAGCTCCACCGAAGGCCCCAGTGGCTGCGCTGGCATGCGGTTCCACACCCCATTCTGGCACACCCCTCGCACGTTTCGTGGCCCCATAGGGGGCTCCACCAAAGGTCCCAGTGGCACTGCCCGCTTGCGTCCGCCACCACCCAGCACAGCCCTTGTTCCCTGCGCTTCACCCACCCAGAACAGCGCTTCGTAGCCCTATAGGGAGCTCCACCAAAGGTCCCAGCGGCACCGCCCGCATGCGTCCGCCACCACCCTGCACAGCCCTTGCTCCCTGCCTGCGTTTCACCCACCCAGTACAGCGTTTCGTGGCCCCATAGGGAGCTCCACCGAAGGTCCCAGTGGCACCGCTCGCATGCGTCCGCCACCACGCAGCACAGCCCTTGCTGACCGCGTCTCACCCACCCAGTACAGCGTTTCGTGGCCCCATAGGGAGCTCCACCGAAGGTCCCAGTGGCACCGCCCGCATGCGTCCGCCACCACCCAGCACAATTGCGGCATTCACAACTGCATATGGTTGGATCCTTCGCCAGGCTAATTTTCGGTGGTTCTTCTTCTTCTTCTTCTTCGAATTTCGGGGCTGGACAGACCTCCTACCCTGACACGTCGATTGAGGAATTGGCCGTTTTCGGTTCGCGACGGGTCCAGGTCCGTCGGTTTAGGTCCCAGGCCCTTTTCACTAAGGGGAGGTCCACTAAAGGGAGGTCTGTCCACCGCCGAGAATTACTTCTATCACACTTCTGTTTGCCTGCTGGTGCCCGTGCGCGGCGGCAGCCGCCTCGGAGCAGCAACCCCCCAGCAGCATAGCGCATTTTGTCGACGGGCCACGGGGTGCCGCGGTGGCGATGGCGGCCACCCAAAGGACGCGACGCAACACACGTGGCCCAGAGGAGAAACGACAGGTTGCCAAGACTCGGAGCAGGAAGCGGTACCGACACCGCTGCCCCCATCTTCGTCCTCGCTGTTCTGGGAGGCCCTCGTTGCCACCGCTGGATTCGCCGCGCACCGGGGGATTGGTGCGGGGAGCAGCGGCATCGGTACCTCTCTGGTCCCCCCAAAGGCGCTGCGAGGTGGCACCCGGGAAGGTCCGCGTGCGCATCTTCTCCCACGCCGTCCTTCCGCTTGTCTTGCCTGCCCTTCTCCCCGCTGCGTCTGGTCTTTCTTTCCCTCTTCGTCTTCTTCGTCCTCGTCCTACCCGTCTCCTTCCACCCCCGGTCTCCGGTCTCTCAGGAGGTCACCAGAGTAGACTCAGGCTGCCTGCACAATGCTGCAATACACTCTCCCGCCCCAAGCCCTCTTCTGCAGGAGTCCTTGGAACGGTTTCTCTTTGAAATATGGAAAGTGCCTCTTTCATCAAAGGCGAGCGCCCCATGTGCGCTGCCATTCAGGCGAGAGCCGCGTTTTGACAAGGAGCATTCGCCCATCCTTTCAGCTAGTTAAACCAAACCACTGCCACGAGGTAAAGTATATGATCATGTGTACCATCGGTGTGCACGCTAGGGAAATCGCATGCGAGAGCCCAATGTTGACAAGGAGCCGCCCAGCATGCGTGCGCCTGGTGCCATTTGCCTTCAATTGCAGGCAAAGGTACGACGGGCGACTCAAACGAGGGCCCCTTTAGAACATGGAAGCGCCCTCCACCTATATTCTATTTCCCTTCTCACACGTGGGGGGTGGGGGGGTTGGGGGGGGTGGGGGGGGGCAAACGTCGTGGGGCGTGCCACGCCGGAGAAAATTATCCCAGGGCCTAATCTTCACGCCGGCGAAAAATACGTCGCCCAATCGCCGGCGGAAATTATGCACCATCTCAGGGTCGCCACTGGTAATGGTGAATATAATGAACATGAGGATGAGGATGGTGATGACGATGTTGATGGTGAAGACGATCACGCGATCATGAGGATGACGGTGAAAAGATGAAAACGGTTCTGCAAGATGCTAATGGACCATATTCGAAATAGTACGGTAATGTTGATGATGATGGTTGTAACATTGACGATGCTGATGATGTTGATGATAATGATGGCGATGATGCTAATGGACATCAGGAGGACGACGAAGATGATGGCGATGAAGATGGGGAGGAGGACGACGAAGGGGATGCCGTCACATGTGCCACCTTTTCGTCTTTCTTCTCGGGGCCTACATGGACCTCATTTTGGCCGTCTTTGGGCTGTCCTGGTCTCCTGATGGGCACTCATGCAGGTCCCATGTGGCTTTCTTGGGCCGTCATGGGGACCTCTTGGGCCGTCTTGGGTCTCTCATTGGGCCTTCGTGGCCGTCTGGGCGGTCTCTTTGGGCCGTCGTGTGGCCCTCGTGGCCATCGTCGTGCAATGCGCGAGCGCGGATGCTGCATACTTGACGAACATCTGTATGATGCACACCCTAATATCCATCAAGGTTGTGAACGATAGGTATTCATAGATGCCGGCGAAGATTAAGCCGCTATCTCGTAAGGGCCGGCGGTCGGCGGTAAATATTCTTCGGGGCTCAACGCCGACGAAAATTAGATTGGTGCCCAAATGCACGCGCTGTGAAAGTGGCACCACCCACGTTTAACCAGGGAAATGGAGTGTAGCTGGTGGAAGCTCTGTGTGACGAGGGGGCGCGGCGCGAAGTCGAGAGCCCCAACTGTTTCTCTGTCTCAATCGTCGAAGACGAGTGTTCTCGGATCCACGGGGGCGAGGGACGAGCCACAACTGGAGATCGTTTTTCGCCCTCAATCCAGGGAAGTTTTTTCACGTTTTCCAGGGAGGTGCGCGCGGCTCTCCGGGGAGAGCCACCCATCCAAAAACCGCCTGGTCAGCATCACGAACGGTGTCGCCGCCTCCTCCTCCTCACCCTCCTCGTCCTCCTCCTCCTCCTCCTCCTCAACTTCTCCTCCCCCTCCTCCTCCTTCTCCCCCTCCTCCTCCTCTTCCTCCCCCTCCTCCTCCTGGCGGCACGATGGCTGCCCCCACCCGGCGCGTCAGACGAACGGTGTCAGACGAACGGTGTCGGCGCCCAGGTGAGCGGTACACCTGAGCATGAGGAAAACATGTTTGGTCCACGCCGTGCCATAGTTGAGGTTGTGGTGGGAGAGGGGGATGGAGGAGGGGGGAAGAAGACGCCCACGGCCCAGTCAGCTCGTTGCCACCAGTGAAGTGTCGGATTCAGCACAGGCATAGTAGATTGTAGAAGGAGGCATCTCGGTGTGTCGTTCGGGGAAGGCTCTAGGGGGCTCTGGAGGTCTTCAGCTGGGTTCGAGGGTGTCCAGAGGTCTCGGAACCAAGGGGGCAAAAGACCGACAGCGCAGGGTGACGGTCTGCAGAGGGATTGCGGCGGAGAAGGGCGCCCCGTGCTGTCTGCAGGAGGAGGCCCGTGGCGAGGGGCGGGGTCAGAGGATCACGCCCGCGTCAGGCGACGGCTCGCTCGGCACGACACACGCCGAGGGAGACTTCCGGCTAACCACGTGGATGCTGGGGGGGGGGGGGCGCAGAGCTCGGGGGCGGTACAGAGGGGGGTGATGACTGTGGGGGGGGGGGATATCATGGCGTGGGCCATGCTGTTTCCCCAGATCTCATGGCGCCTCTTCTTATTCCCTTGCGTCCCTGGCCCCCCCGCTGGGCCGCGCACATGCCGCCGGTCATGATTTGCACCCCCCCTCTTGGACACCCCCCTCTTGGCCGCTCCCGAAGAGCGAAGAGTGAGCTGCAAGAGGCGGAGGAGGTCGAGGGGGAGGAGGCGAGCTAGGCACGTTCGCGCCATATCTGGTGGCGTCTTACCCCTCCCACCCGTCCCTTCCAATTACGTTGATTTCTCTCTATCCGCAGACTTGTGGCATAACGGACCAGAACTCCAAAGAGGACACCATCGTTTTATGCGCAATCGGGAGAAAGTGAGTCGCGCACTTTGGAGGAGGACGTGGCGGAAGAGCAGAAGGAAAATGAGGATGATGAGGAAGCAGGGGGATGAGGTAGGACAGACAGCAGCAGCAGCATGACCTGGATTGGAAGTAGCGGAAGGAGCAGGAGGACCGTGGAAGGCGGAGGTCGGTGAGAGGACTGGGGCAGAATTGTTTTCTACGGCTTTCGGAAAGCCGGGAGCCCTTCCATCGCCGTCGAAGTCCATCTCATAAGTGTATTGATCGAGCCTAGTCTTGGAATGTCAAGTCAGAGTCAGAGTCACATTTGTTCGATGCGCTGGCGTTGTTTCATGCTCCTCAACCCGAGGCCAAAACATCTCCACCACCACTTGAATCCCCCTCCGCCCCCCAAGACAGGAGAGGAAAATGATGGGGAGGGGGGAGGAACTGGTGGTGCATGCTTAGGGGCCCTTTGCTCCAGCAGGCGCGTTGTGGACGTCAGCTATGCACACCTGTGCGGTCTGGCAGCCTCAGCACAGCGTGGCCAATCTTACTACATTAGCATATGTAGAGGTGTGGCATGTGTGCCGATGACGATGTGTAGATGTTCTCCCCTTGGTCAGGCAGTGAACCTGCAGTCATGTGATTTGTTTGTGTTGGCGTATGCAAGTGTGCCCGCCAACAAACAAGCGAACCAATTGTTCATTTGTATGTGTGCAGCCTGGACAGTTTCGTGGTACCGATGTCTATCGTTGCTGCATTCACTGACTAGTAAGTTGCCGTCATGCGGTTGAAGTTGTTATGCTAGTACTGCTTGTGTTGACGCGGTTGGTCGTGGTGTGCTTTATTGTTCCCCCGTCTGACTCCAGACTCCTCTTCGTCCTCATGATCCACTTGCTCCTTCTCGTCGAGCTTGTGGTGGTGTGTGGTGGATGCGGTGGTGACGGCTGTGTTTGTGTTTGATTTTGTTTGGTGGCATCCACAGATGAAGCCAGTTTCCTGACCTGTGTGTGTTTGTGTCGCTTCCAATGTGTACAAGTATGTTTATGGGGGTCTTTGCTTTATCGAAGCACCCCACCGCCGACCCTCAAAAAACATGTCAAACGTCCCCCGGCAAGCCCCCATTACCAAAAGCATGGCAAGAGCTCGATCCCCAGCAACCCAACACACAACCACCACTGCCTGCCTGGTCAGGGCCACCCCCATGGACCCCAGGATGGCGTGCAGACCCTCCTGGCCTTGGCCAGGCGGGCGCATGCACGATCTCAGGTCAAGGACGGCACTGGCCAGGCATGGTGGCGGCGTATACTTACCAGCCTGGAACGTATCCCTATCCCTATGTTGGGCACCTCCTCATCACGATGCCAATCTTAGGGATTTCCTTATGTTTTGAGGGCGAATCCATAAGATTGTCATCGCCTTTTGGCGTGTCAATCTTAGGGATAGGGATACGTTCGAGGCTGGTAAGTATACGGTCAGAACCTGCTGGACGGCGTGCACTGCCGCCAGCTCTGGCCCACCACGCTCCGACGCGACAGGCTGACCACCCTCCCAACCTCTGGGCGCCAACGCCCCGAGCCCCTCCCAGCGCTCCGCCTGTCTTTCGGTGGCAGATCATGGGAGCCTGGCATACTCTCTGAATTCCGTCTCTGGCGTCGGTTGACGTCGATTGGCGTCTGGAGTCGATGATATAGCGCCGATGTGGCGTCGATGAGCGTCGATCAGCGTCGAGTTAGCGTCGATCAGCGTCGATTCGCAGGAGCCGACAGTATGGTATGGGAGGCCCCCGTGAGTCGCTGCCGAGCCTTCTGCGTACCTCGCCCCCTCCCTCCTCCGCCGCGGCGCCGGCGCGAGCGGGCCCGGGCAGGGGCTGCTCCGCACGGGCCCGACGAACAGCAAGCCCGAGGACCACGCCCTGCTTCGGCAGAAGTACCACCGCGCCCACGAGGGCGGCCAGCAGAGCCTCGGCACAGCTCGGAGCGGAGAGAGCTCGGCACCACCACCACCACCGGGCCCTCTCTCCCCCCCTCCCCCTC